TCATGGCACACATAAGCTGATTATTAAAATTCTGCAGCACATCAAAAATATATTTTTTTTGCCAATCTGACAGTATCTAAACCCATTCCGATTTAGGAAAAATCTTATATGAATCTTTGTGGGAGGCTGAGTTCATGTAGGAGGTTTTCCCCCATGGTATTGAGTAAACTCAGCCATTCTCTTTCATTAAATGGTTTATCAGACCTTGACAATGTAAAGAATTGTGTGCTAGGATTACCCTAAAGATTTTGGCTTATACATTTCTATGACTTAGAAAAATCAATAAAGAAAATATTAAATCGCTATGACTTGCCATTATATTTAAGAGAATTAATTAGCAGTTAATTTTGGGTCTTTCTCTGCAAGATCTGAGAATGTTCTGAGATTTTGCCTACTGGCAAGTTAATACGTTAGCCTGCCAGTCTCATGGATGCTGGCGGAAGACACAAGACTTCTGGATCAGGGACAAAGGACACTGTGTTTCTCACAGCAACAGGACAGTTTATTGCTCACATAAATAGCAGCAACCAAAGTAGTAGCATTTTTTAAAATATATTTTTATTGATTTCAGAGAGGAAGGGAGAGGGAGAGAGAGATGGAAACATCAATGATGTGAGAGAATCATTGACTGTCTGCCTCCTGCAACTGGGGATAGAGCCTGCAACCCGGGCTTGTGCCTTGGGACCATGGCCTCTGATTCATAGGTCTCCACTGAGCCACAACTGGCCCGGCAATAGTAGCATGTTTGTAGCCTCTCAATTTCTACAGGGCTATGTGAAGCATGATAGATGACACATACACCAATGAGAGGTATGACAGTATATGGGCTTTGGCACTCTGAATTTTTTATGGGCAATAAGCATACCAGCTCTGTGCTCCAAAGGGTGGCACTATCCAATTCTGTCTTCTGAGATGGTTCACTATACAAGCAATCTTGAACAAAGGGCAGTCAATACCTTGCTCATAAAACTACAAAAATGTAATAAATCCATAGAAATTTTTTTTTGTCTCCTAACAGTCATAGACCATGAGTCAGTCTGTAGTAGGCAGTAAAATAGGCCTGAGCAGAGATAGGCCAGGTACAGAGGATCACCAGGTCAGAGAGTCTCAGGTGCCTAGCAACAAGCAAAACCACAAGCCCTTGCATGAGCATTCCCTTAAGCATTACCCCTGAGAGATGACATCTAGGCTTCAGCTTTGTTTCAGCTCCAGGCCCAGGGCTGACATCACAACCACCTGGCATTGACTAATGAACCTTTCCCAATCAGTGGAGACTATGACTATGGGGGCCACACCTGGAGAGCTGATGAATATTTTATTGAGATCCTCACCTGAGACCTCCAGTAACCCTTTTTCTGCAGCACACTGCAGACTTCCCTCTCTCTTTTGTCTCTCAAGTTTTCTCTCTCTCTCTCTCTCTCTCTCTCTCTCTCTCTCTCTCTCTCTCTCCCTTAAGTTCCAAAGGTCTCTTCTTTTGCCTCTGTAACTCCTTTCTTGAGCCCATTTCTTCTATGGCTCATTTTAACTCTGTGACTTTCTAAATAAACTTTCTCTTATAGTTTGATCTTGCCTCTGAATTCTTTCTTAGCCAGAACCCAAGTACCAATGTTGCTGAACCCAGGTCTAACACCTGGTGCTGTTTTGTCACCAACAATTCCATGTTATAAGATCATGCCTCAGAATATTACAGTCTTAGGACATAACAAAAGAGAAAACTTTAATCTGGAATGCTTTTTATGATTTTGTATTAATGCTATTCTTAAGTAGAAAACAGTTTTTTTATATTAAGAATATGAAATTTAAACTTCACTTACAAATCTATTATCAGGATGAAAAATTGTTTGTAGAGTCCTCTGAGTATAGTTTTATACCTATCAACAAAGATTATCACATATATACTTAACAGTTGTTCTACGGCTATGAAAGCTAAAGACAATGACAATGAAAGGGCAAATCTAACTTTACCTTTAAATACTAATCATTGGATAATTCATGCCTATGATTTAGTGTTTCTTATTTTTCAATATGAAAATGTTAACTGGTGTTTAATGCTAGGCTTATAATAAGCCAAATATACTCGTTAAAAGTAAATTTTTAAATGTTTCCTCCATGTTCATTGGACATCCTGTTTTACAATATACCCATTTATTTTAAATGCAAATATAAAATTATTTATTGAAAAAATTTCCCTTAATGATGTCCTTTTTATAGTATTAGCAACTAAGTGCTATTTTTTTTTAATTTCCATGAACGATACTGACAGTGGATTAGTACCAGATACACAAGTGCATCTGAAAACGCATAATCTGACCTTTATCTCTACTGTAATCAGCATGAGCTGTCACCCTTCATGGTGTAACTTAACAGCTGTTATAATAACTGACTGTAATCAATCATTTGCACTTGCCTGATTCAACCGAGATGAATTGCTTTGAGCCTTTATCTCAAAGACTGATTTAACTCTGGGAATTGGTGAGGAATTTTGTCTTACTCTATATGGCTTTTGAGGGAATCTGATAAAATTATAAATAAAACAAAATGGCAATGTATGTGCAAACTTAATTTAAATAAACATATCTTTAAAACTATGTTGTAAACCAAAATTAAATTTAATGAGTGGAGTATTAGAAATTTTAAATGACTGTCTTAGGCACCAAAGTTAAAAAATAAAATTTAATGTCATTTTACATGCTTGTTAGCTTCCAATACTAGTCTTATTAAACGCATAATAAAACGTAATAACAACAGAAAATATGTTTTCTAAGACCTAAAATTAAAGCATAAGTAGAGATATTGAATTTTAATATGCCACTTTATTTATCTTTGCTATTTGGGGAAAAATGTTTTAGAGAACTCTGAAAATCTGAGGTCATTATATCTATGCCCATTGTTTTTTTGGATTAGAAAACTAAAGTATAGAGGTAGTAAGAGACATTTCCAACATTGGTTGTGGTAGCAGACTAGAGTCCTGGGTCAGTAATTGGTCAGGGAGAAGAGATGTGGCAGAAGCCCATTCACATAGAGCTAGAAGGGAAGTTCTGCTCAAGGGAGAATATAAATATTATTGAACTCACCACTAGGTGGGGCTTTAAATGACTTATTTGTCCAAATATACACTATATTGATTTATTTATGACTAATGGTGTGTTTATTTTTAATTAAATTTATTGTTGTGACACTGGTTAATAATATTATATAGGATTGAAGTGCACAATTCTATAATACATCATCTGTTTATTGCATTGTGTGTCTACCACCCAAAGTCAAATCTTTTGTTACCACATATTTGACCTCCTTTACCCTTCACTCCTCTCCCAACCCATCCCCTCAGGTAACTATCATACTATTATCTGTGTCTATGAGTTTTTATTTGTCTTCCTTGTTTGTTCATTTGATACTTTCAGTTTTATATTCCACATATGAGTGAAATCATATGGTTCTTAACTTTTTCTTTCTGACCTATTTTGATTAGAATGACATTCTGAAGATCCAAGACATGGAAATAATCAAAGTATCTGCTGATAGATAATCTGATGTGGTACGTATATAAAATGGAATAGTACTCAGCCATAAGAAAAGATGAAATGCTGTGCTGTTGTTTATGACAACATGGATGGATCTATTGGTACCTTCATATACACTGTCCAGTTGATAACTGGAACGGTGAGCCGAGGTGTTTTTCCCAGGGTCGTGTCTCATGACACCAAAGAATGAGCTTCACTGACCAGAAGGTTCAAGCAAAAATGGGGAAAAAATTTTTATAAGCAGATTCAGACCCCCTGCAAGGGGAGGGGGACCCAATAGTGGGCTGCCTGCCTGTTAAAGCCTTGTAGTCCAACGGTATGTATTTGCCACAAGCCTGCTCTATCTCTACCTGTGTTGTCACCTGATTGATTCCCTCAATTGTTCTTGCCCAGCAACAGATCTGAACTTTCCCTGTTTCTATGTGTACTTTCTCTGTCCCTGTGCTGAACTTTCTCTGCTTCTATGCGCTCATACACCTTGTGACTGCAGGTCCACCCCTGTTTTCCATGCCTCCTGCTTTGAGTCCAGAAACATTCTATTATTTCTGCTTGGTTGGTTCTGGGATTAGGCTGCTCAAACTGCTGTATCTGCCCCTGCCTGTGCTCTACCTGCCTTTGTTTCCACTGGACCCCTGCCCTGTCTGCCTGTGTTCCAAGTTAACCCCCTCACAGTCAGAACCTAGTAATATCATTGAGGTGCCAGCAAGGTGACAACTTTGTAGTACGCCCATAGCAGTTTATTTCACCTCGATATTTTGGCAATGGTGTTTAAACTATTTGTCATCTTATGACTAAGTAGGCTTTTAAAAAGCTGAATAGAGAAATTCTTTTTAAAGTGTTGAATAGAAAAATTTTCACTGATATCTTTTTTCTTCCCCTCAGCAATTTTTCTTATACCAAGTAGATACATTTAAAATAATTTCTTTGACCTTAAAGCTTCTCAAAGTAGGGTAACAACTGATCAATACTTTCATGTCCCTGATGATATAATGATATTAGTGTTTTTTCAAGTGAAACAGAAATTATTTAGCTACTCTCTTCACCACAAGGCAAAGGGTCTCCTCATAGCACTGATGAAACAGTTCATTAATTATCTTTTCTTATAATCTAGACTCTTGACATCCTGTTTGACAGTTATTTACTTTCACCTACAAAGTACCATGTACACACAAATATGCTGTGTAAACTAAAAGCTGTACTTTGGCAAGCTACTGAGGAAAATATTTACTTAATTTTTTTCTTTTTAGATTTTTTTATTGTTGACAGTATTACAGATGTCCCCCATTTCCCCACTTCCTCACCCATCCCTCTCCCTCCCCTTAGGCCTTACAACACTATTGTCTGTGTCCATGAGCTATGCATATAAGTATACTAGAGGCCCAGTGCGTAAAATTGCACATGGTAGCCCACTGCTGCTCTCAGCCCCTCCCACCCGTCCACCGAGCTTGCAGCACCACCCACCCGCCTGTCACCCACCTTGCTGCGATTGGAGCTTGTGGGTTGCAGTAGAGGAACCGAGAGGTGCTCAATGCATCTCACGGTGAACTGTCGTTTAGTCATCCTGGTCATCATGGACACTGGCTTTTTATATACACATATATATATACTGCCTGCCAACCACCTTGCTGCGATTGGAGCCTGTGGGTTGCGGGGGAGGAACCGAGAGGTGCTCAATGCACCTCACGGTGAACTGTGGTTTGGTCATCCTGGTCATCATGGACACTGGCTTTTTACATATATATAGATAAGTTCATTTGATTTTGACACTTAACAATACCTGGTTTAGAATACATTTAATATTATTTTCTTCGATCTCTATCCCACTCTACTTTTTAAAATTACTAAATTTGACATCCCCTTTCATGAATAAATGTGCTTATTAAGTACATTTAATTTGAATTATGTAATATGTAGAATTGGAAAGAATCCTTCATCACTAAGAAGCAACATGGAATTTCTGCTGACTCTTTTTGTTGTTGTTTTAAGTATTTGTTTTGTTGCTTTTTAAAATTTCCAGCTTGATTGAGATATAATTGACATATAGTATTGTGTAAGTTTAAGGTTCACAACATGTGAATTTAATAAATACATATATTGAGAAATGCATATTTTACCACAATAAAGTTGGTTAACATATTCATCAGCTCACATAGTTATCATTTTGTCTGTGGGAGTGGTGATAACTTTTAAGATTTACTCTCTTACCAACTTTTAATTATACAATATAGTATTGTTAACTTCATTTGATTTTGACACTTAACAGTACCTGGTTTAGAATACATTTAATATTATTTTCTTTGATCTCTATCCCACTCTACTTTTTAAAATTACTAAATTTGACATCCCCTTTCATGAATAAATGTGCTTATTAAGTACATTTAATTTGAATTATGTAATATGTAGAATTGGAAAGAATCCTTCATCACTAAGAAGCAACATGGAATTTCTGCTGACTCTTTTTGTTGTTGTTTTAAGTATTTGTTTTGTTGCTTTTTAAAATTTCCAGCTTGATTGAGATATAATTGACATATAGTGTTGTGTAAGTTTAAGATTCACAACGTATGAATTTAATAAATACATATATTGAGAAATGCATATATTACCACAATAAAGTTGGTTAATATATTCATCACCTCACATAGTTATCATTTTGTCTGTAGGAGTGGTGATAACTTTTAAGATTTACTCCCTTACCAACTTTTAATTATACAATATAGTATTGTTAACTATAGTCATAATGCTGAACATTATATTCTCAGAATTTATTATAATAATATGAATAAATTCTGAGAATATTTGACCACCTTCACCCATCACCCTAGCTCCACCCCTGGCAGATACCAATCTTTTTTCTGTAGATTTCAATGGTAACATCTTCTGATCCTGGGCTTTTATTTGTGGGGAGATTCTTTATTATTAATTTAATCTCCTTACTCATTACTGGCATGTTTAGATTTTCTATTTTTATAATTCAGTCTTGGTTGGTGTATGTTTCTAGGAATGTATTCATTTTTTTCCGTTGTGCAATTTGTTGGCATAAATGTTTGTAGTCTCTTATGGTCCCTTTTATTTCTGTGATATCTATTTTAATGTCTCCTCTCTCATTTGTAATTTTATTTTTTTGAGTTATCTCACTTTTCTTGATTTGTCTAGCAAAAGATTTGTCAATTTTGTCTGCAAATCTTTTCTATTTGTTATCTATTCTCTATTTCATTATTTTATGCCCTATATTTTCCCCTTCTGCTAAGTTTGGCCTTATTTTGTTTTTCTTTTTCTAGTTCCTTGAAGTGTAAAGTTAAATTTTTCATTTGAGATTTTTCTGTAATTTTGATGTATGCATTTATATCTTTAAGCTTTTATTTTAGAATTGCTCTTGCTGTATTCCACAAGTATTGGTGTATTGTGCTTCTATTTTCATTTTTCTCAAGATAGTCTTTGATTTCTTGTTGATTCCTCCTTGACCCAGAGCTTGTTCAGGAGTGTGTTGTTTAATTTCTGAGAATGTATGATTTTTTCAGTTTTTTTTCCTATTATTCATGCTCAGCTTCATACCGTTGTGGTTGCAAAAAATACTTGATATAGTTTCTATTTTCTTGGATTTGTTGTAACTTGTTCTGTGCCCTAACATATATCTACCCAAGAAAATGTTTTGTGTGTGCTTCAGAAAAAATGTGTATTCTGCTGTTGGTGGGTGCAATGTTCTATATATGTCTTCATATATTCTGTAGACTAGGTCAGTTTGATGTATATTGTTGACCTAGCCATTGTTGAGAATGTGGTATTGAAGCCTCATGTATTATATTGCTGTTTATTTCTCTTTTTAGCTCTGTTGGTATTTGCTTTATATATTTAGATGCTTTGATGTTAGGTGTATAAATATAATTGTTTTAGCTTCTTGATGAATTAATCATTACAAAATGATCTTTTTTGTCTCATGATAATTTTATGTTAAATTTTATTTTTCTGATATAAGTTTAGTGACCCCTGCTTTCTTTTGGTTACCATTAGCTTATGATGTTTTTCAATCCATTCACACTCATCCTATGTGTGTTCTTAAAGCTAAAGTAAGTCTCTTATTGAAAGCATATCATTGGATCAAATTCTCTTGATTGGAAAATTTAATCCATTTACATTTAAACTAATCATTGATAGTTAAGGACTTATGATTGCCACTTGTTTTCTGATTGTTTTGTAGATAGTTTGATCCTTGCTTCCTCTCTTGCTGCCTTCCTTTGTGATTTGATTACATTTTTGCCTTGGATGCTTTAACTCCTTTATCATATCTTGTGTATCTACTGCACAAGATGAGGTTTACATAAAATCCTATATAATAAAACCCTAATATGCAAATTGACCTACCAGTGGAATGACCGGTTGCTATGAAGCACACTGACCACCAGGGGGCAGAAGCTCAACTCAGGAACAGGGCTCATGGCTGGTGAGCACAGCGGTGGTGGCGTGAACCACTCCTACCTCCGCAAAGTGCTAAGGAACAGTAAGCCCAGTGGTAAGGAGCAGCAAGAAGTGGGCAGTAAGGAGCGAGGGGTCTCAGACTGCCAGAGGGTGCAGGCTGGGCTGAAGGACCACCCTTCTCCCAGTGTATGAATTTCATGCACCCATAGTCATAACATTCTCTCTCAAGCTGATAAGTTAACTTTTACACATTCATATGTTTCCGTGATGTTCACTAACACATTTTTCATTCTACCTTGAAGTGCCTCTGCAGAGTGCTAAGGAGCAGTGAGCCCAGTGGTAAGGAGCAGCAAGAAGGTGGACAGTAAGGAGCGAGGGGTCTCGGACTGCCAGAGGGTGCAGGCTGGGCTGAAGGACCCCCCCTCCCCCAGTGCATGAATTTCGTGCACCCATAGTCATAACATTCTCTCTCAAGCTGTAAGTTAACTTTTACACATTCATATGTTTCCATGATGTTCACTAACACATTTTTCATTCTACCTTGAAGTTCACCCACTTGCATTTCTTATAAGATACATCTAGTTGTGAAGAACTTCCTCTATTTTTTACTGGTATTTGTCTTGGAAAGTCATTCTTTCCTTCATATCTTAAAGACAACTTTGGTATCTTTCTCTCTTTCTTTCCTTCTTTCTTTCTTTCTTTCTTTCTTTCTTTCTTTCTTTCTTTCTTTCTTTCTTTCTTTCTTTCTTCCTTCCT